TTTGAAGTTATCAACAATGCATGCTTTTTACCCATTAAACTGTCCAAGTATACTTAATTTCACTGCATAAATCTATTTTACTGAGTTGATTGCATAGAGTTGATGAAATATTGAGATACTATAATAACTCAAAATCTAGAGAAGATGGACAAATTCTAACTATTAACCTTTTGATACTTATTAATAACATTCTAAATACATTCATTACAATATATTATGAACTACATTTAATATTAAAAGTTAGTTTTCTCTTCTCTGAAAACAAATTAGACGAGTTTCATACAACTAACTCTTAAGTCATAATTTGTTATTCTTACTACAAAATAACATGTATTCAGCTATACAAGTACAGAAGTAATATTTGTAATTTTAACTTTTAACGTACGGCTTTATAAGTAAAGGTAAGATCTTCCTCTGATACAAGTAGATATTAAACTTATTTATGTCAGTTACGAACCAATTTGAAATTAGGATAACATAGATCCAACTAGAGAGGAACTCAGTAGAGCGCATACCTCCGCCACGCAACGTTGTGTTGATCACATTCGGCCCTCATAAAATATAAAACTCTATCCGTATGTCCATCGTTATCATTTTTGGCAAGGAATAATATTCTTCATATGTCCACTAAGTTTCATGAAAATCTGATCATTTTTGACTGAGTTATAGAGCAAAAATAGAGTGAAGAATCGGTTTCCATGTTAACAGATAGGGATTTTTTGGATTTTCTTGACCTTACTATGACCTAGGCCTTTAACTTTGACACTTCAAAAACGAACGACTTCTCAGTTGATTTATAGTTCCAATCAATAGCAACTTTCATTTAAATCCATTCAGTCATTTTTTGAGAAATCTTGCTGCAAAACTCACACGCACACACACACACAGGGGTGAAACATAATATCTGTCCACCTTCGGGAGCGGAGGTAACTAGTGGAAACAAACTTTTAAAACACTTAATGGGTCACATTATTGTTTTTCGGGATGAGTCCAGGTTGTATTTGTTTTCTCATGATGAGTCACTAGATCGTATTACTATTTCTTATGATGAGTTCAGGTCGTGTTACTGTTGCTCAAGTCCAATTCGTACTTAAAGTGGCCTTGCGTTTTCCTTTGAAGACATTTATGAAATACTAGCAAACCGTAGCCGGCTGAAAGTCAATTAAATATCTCTGTAAGTCAAGTAAAGTTAAAATCAGAAGCTACTGAGTAAAGTAAATAATTTTGAATTATTTGGAAAAGCATCCTCAGTAGGTAAACCTGCTGTACCCTACTGATGACATTCCTTTGAAGTAGGAACTGTTTTTATGTTAACAAAATATCTTAGTTCATTAAAGCAAATATTACACATAAAGCACGCGCAGTTGTCTTAAATCATAACTGTTTGGGTCCCAGAAGGCTGGCGTGAATACTTTCATAAAATATGTATCAGTCACTTTTAAAGGACAAATCCGGAAAGTTAGGTCCCACAGCGCTGAAGTATAAACAGTTACCTCAAGTGATTATTTTTTTGTTATATATGATTTCTTCCTGCTCTTTTTTTTTCTGAAATAAACTTTCTTGTCATTTTAAAACTGCTGGTAGTTAGTTTAGTAAGAGATGCACGCTAGACGAATTCCAAAATTTTTCGATTTAAGTCAGGTCAGCATAGCCTACCCAACTAAATAATATAATAGGGAGTACCGGTTAACATTACTTCAGATTATTGTCAAATAACTGGTTTTCTTTCCAACATTGCTTTGTTCTTTGGTTTCTGAACCTCACTGGCGCGGAACATGAAGCACCTTAACATGATTCGTTGAAAGAATGATGATGCTTTCAACATACTAACTCTCGACGTGAAATTGGTCTGTATGAATGAAACACGACATTCACTAGAAAACACAAAATATGCTTAGTAGGCCTTTCTACTTCTGTTAAAACTGTATTCAAAGCTCGAATTTGGATTAATGACTGAATTATCATGGGTATAGAACCTGGAAATAGCCAATGAAACTTCATGAATTTGTTTTACTTTAAAACGCTTGATACTACATAAAGAATAAGGGTTGCCTGTAAACGAGATAATCGTCTTATGCGATTTTAATCAACAAAATAATAAAAATTGAAAAAACTTCAACAGGATGAACTTGAAGGGTCTAATGTCAATATAGAACCTAGCAAGCGTATACGTACATACATATAGTGTTGATTCTTGCACTCGAGAATCTTCTACAACCTTAGAGAATAGG